GAGAGAAGGCAACCGGACAAATACTTGTGAGGTGGGTAGTGGGCAGCTGAGGTTTCCCAAGTGTTATGAGCAGATATAGAGTCAGGCAATTCTTGGGCTGCTTGCCACCCCACAAGGTAGGACAGTGATGGCAAACCTTTTAGAGACCAAGTGCCCAAACTGCAACCCAAAACTCACTTATTTATCGCAAAGTGCCAACACGGCAATTTAACCTGAATAATGAAGTTTTACTACATAAAATAATGATAAACAACACAGAGTTCACCCAATTGTTCTAAGAAAAACGTGATAATGAACTTTTATGTCCCTTCATTTTTTTCTGCTTTTGAAATATTACATTTAGCAACAATAAAAAAGAAAAATTTTTGTAATATCATTTTCTCTTTCCCTCCCCCTTTCCCCCTCTCTCTCTTTCCCTCCCCGCTCTCTCTATCTTTCCCTCCTTTTCTCTCTTTCCCTGTCTTTCTCTCTTTCCCTACCCCCTCTTTTTCTCTTTCCCTCCATTTTTCTGTCCCTCCCACTCTCTTTCCCCCTCTCTCCTTCCCTCCCCCTTTCTCTCTCTCTGTCTTTCTCTCTTTCCCTTCCTCCTTTTCTCTCTGCCTCTCTCTGTTTCTATATATATATATATATTTCCTTCTCTCTCTCTTTCTCTCTCTCTCTCTGTGTCCCATCCATCCATCCATCCATCCATCCATCCATCCATCCACCCACCCATCCATCCATCCACCCAGGGATGAAATCCAGCAGGTTCTGGACAACCGGTAGCAGAAATTTTGAGCAGTTTGGAGAACCGGTAGCGGAAATTTTGAGTAGTTCAGAGAACTGATAAATACCATCTCTGGCTGGCCCCAGAGTGGGGTGGGAATGGAGATTTTGCAATATCCTTCTCCCAGGAGTGAGGAGGAAATGGGGATTTTGCAGTATCCTTCTCCTGGATTGGGGTGGGAATGGAAATTTTGCACTATCCTTCCCTGCCACAGCGACCAAGCCACGCCCACCAAGCCACACCATGCCCACCAAGCCACGCCCACAGAACTGGTAGTAAAAAAATTTGGATTTTACCACTGCATGCATGCATCCATCCATCCATCCATCCATCCATCCATCGATCTATCCATACTCTCCTGTCCAGCTTCATGTTGTTCTGTCCCCGTCCCACACACGCACCCCCACAGACGGCCCGGAGTTAATAAGCCACACGACAAAGTCTTTGAAGATAAAGCTGGCAGCAACTCAGTGGTTAGCTGACAATTCAGACTTTACTCACACAAAACAAAGATTAGACTGCAAGCATTCCGATAAAGCAGGCAAAGTTTCAGCAATACAAGGATTAGTCCAAATGCAGTCCGACAAGGCAGGCAGAAGTCCAGTAATGCAGAGATCATGGATTATTTCTAGTTTTTGCTCGTCACAAACTGAACCGGCCACCACACCCACATTTATACCCTGTTGGGTGTGGTCCAGTGACTCAGCTAATCTCTGGCATGCCTTCCCCTCTGCTGCGCATGCTTCTCCCTACGTCGCTGTCGAGGATCCAGCCAGCACTTATCTCCTTCGTCACTGTCCACCTGTGGCTGCGGGGACGTGCTTGGCTCTGGGACTATCTCTTGGCCTTCGGTGTCCTCCGGAGGCATCGCCAGAGAGGAGGGTCCTGGAGAGGGAGGCCTTGCCAATTCCTCTCCCTCACTCTCAGAGTCAGCATCTGTCGATAGCCCAGGCTCAGGCAACAGAGCCACAACACGTGTCGTGTGAATCCAAACACTTGCGCTGTGGTGGAGGAATGGAGGCTGGCAGGCAAAGCCAAGCGTTAGAGATCCATACAAAATAAGGCAACTCCAACCTGGATCCTGTTGAGGAGACCCCCTTTCCTCTCCCTCTCTCCCCCCATGGCAGGAGCCCAGGCAGTCTTAGCGCAGCTCCCTCCTCGGAGGCAACCAGGTCTGGGAGGCACTGGTGTGGAGCCCCACCTCTGGCCAGCGAGAGTGGAGCAAGTAGGGCAATCACTTCCCCTGCCGCTGCTGTGGCACTGGCACTGGCCAGGGGCTGAACATTTGGAGCCACGCTCAGCAGAGTTTGCAAGTGGATTTGGTGGGGCCACTTAGTGGGGATACCCTGGCCCATTTTGTTCACTTCAGCAGAGGGTGGGAACACAGAAGGCAGAGGAAATCCGTGCCTCTCGGTGTTCAGCCCTCAAAGATTTCTTTGGGGCAACTTTTTCTGCTTTTGAAACATTACGCTTAGCAATAATAAAAAAGAAAAACTTTTGTAATATGATTTCTCTTTCCCTCCCTCCCTCCCTCCCTCTTTCTCTGCCTCTCTCTCTCTCTCTCTCTCTCTTTCTCTCTCTCTTTCCCTTCCATCTCTCTTTCTCTCTGTGTCTCTTTTCCTCCCTTTCTCTCTCTCTCTCTGCCTCCCTCTGTTTCTCTCTCACACCACCCCCATGGGGGGAAGGAACCCCTGAACTGGTGGTGCTGGGTGGTGGGAATGACATCCAAATGCCAACAAGCCCAGGAACAGCTTGCCCATGCTCAGCTCACTGGCATGGAGGTGGGGCATCTCAACACAGGCAGCTCTGCAGGAAAAGAAATTGGTCGCATTGTGGCTCTGCGTCATAATGGGCTTCAGGAGGATGGGATCCCATCTCCCCCATTGTGAAGCGCACAAGTGAAAAAGTTCACTCAATCAACTCCAACTTCGCGAGATCTTTTTCTTTCATGAGAAGTTGGAATTGATTGAGTGAAATGCGATGGAGAACCACGATTGGAGTTGAGCTGGGGTGACTGCGCACGTGCCCACAGAGAAGGTTCTGTGTGCCATGTCTGGCATGCGTGCCATAGGTTCACCATCATGGAGATAGGATATGGGGAGCCCCAATCACCATAGATGGAAAGAAGATAGATGGGAGGGGGGTTAAAGTCCTTCTGTTGTTGTTGTAAGTATGGGTGGGCAGCTAAGTGCTCAAATTTTGATCACATGACCATGTAGATACTGCAATGGCCATAACTTCAGGCATAGATTTTAAGTCCCTTTTTTTTTCAGCACCATCATAACTTCGAACAGCCACTGAACAAACAGTTATAAGTTGAGGGCTACCTACATAGATGGTCAGTATCCAGGTATGGATGTAGGCTTTAGTGCTTCATTTTCATAAAATCCCAAAGATCAATCTTCTAGCAGTTGACATAGAGCTATGCAGATTGAATAATCAGAACATGAAAATGCATACAAGGAAAATTTTACAAAAATCTATAGTGGGAAGCCGGGAACAGTAGGAAAATAATTCCTACTTCCAATAATTTACAAAAGTTGTGCAGAACAGAAATAAGGATTTATAACTGAAATATTAATTACTTTCTTTTCCCAAATGTTTCTTTGCTCTCTAAAGAAGCAAAATGTATATTGCAAAACACTTTACTTATTCCATGACATATTGCAATATGGATAACAATTATTACTGGAATAAACTAAACTACAGTATGACTATCAATATTTATCAATTTATTATATTTAGTATCAGCCACTGATTTTTTAAAAAAAAATAGTTTAAAAATTGCAAGGAAAGGAAAACATTTATTCCACAGAATGGTTGTGCAAACAAAGAATCAATGCTCCTTTAAAATTCACAGGTGTTAGACGTATGGCTTTGGAACTCTACAAAAGTAGATATAACTAGCTATGTACATTTCATGAAGTGTTAATCTGTGATACTTGACTTTGATGGACAGTAGACATTCTCTTGGATTAATCAATAATGCAATAAATGAAAATAATGCAATGTCCCTTTTACATTTGTACTGTGGTTACATTTTTACATTTGTACTGTGGTTGCTAGATCATTGATTTTTCAAAATCCAGACTCCTCTCCAAAAAAATCTTTCACCCACCCACCCACTCCAAAGAAATCTTACACCTACCCACTCCTTTTCAAATTTCTTACTGGGAAAGCCTGACTTCTATTGAAGCAGATTCATCTTCATTCTCTTCTTTGAACAGCTGGATAGATGTAACCATTAAACTGCAAGGTATTGTTTTAACTGTATATTTAACTGTCTCTTTGTCCCTTAAATAACAAGACACACATGCACACACATATTGTACACAGTTTGGCAAACCTTTGTATAATTTCAAATAGCATAGCTCTATATAGCTCTATTGCGAATAAGTCCTTCCAAATACAATGGTTTTTCTTCTCAATAAGCAGACAATATATGACTATTTTCACTGCTGCTGCTAAATTTTAAGAACAGATCTTCTGAAAAAGTACCACTATCTTTCAGTTTACTTTTTTAAAAAACTCTAGGAGACAGTAGCTGATTTTTATTTTTTATTTTTTTTGCAAGTCTGCTGATTGTTTGAATGTTAAGGTCTGCACTCAGCTGGTGTGTTTTGAGACACAAAGTAGTTTATATGATTTTAAGAGACATATCATTTGCTGGCATTTAAAAAGTAATACATTCATGCAGCAGATTCATATGTATAAAAACACTGATATTTACTAAAAAGTTGAGAGCTAGAAAAGAGTTCACTGTCTAAAATCAGATGCATTATTACTCCAGAAAAATCATCTGCCTGGTTTGATATTAAATCCACTTATCTTATTTTTGCCATGAACATTTTTCAGTTATGAAATGTGGGCAGCTTTAGGGATTATTTCTTTCAATCCATCATCAGTTTCTGCACATGGCATATCCTATCCCCACCTAACTTTAAAGAATCCACAACTCCTAAAACACAAAGACTTCAAACCACATCTCAAATGCATGCAATTTTCCTGACTCCTCTTTGTGGTGTTTTTGGGACATTCTTATGGTGCCCACAATTGTTGGCTGTGATCCCATTTTCCCCTTGCTTCCCAAGCATTCCATGGTCCCTCTCTTTCTATAAGATTATAGAAACAACGGACCTTTAAACAGCCTGTTATCTTGCCAGGAGAAATGCATAAGCGGATACCCCCAGGAATAACCCAAAGGACAACGCACACACTTCCCCGATTCACTTACCTGTCTTCCACAAATACACTGAAGTTTCCAATTCACTTTGTGCTGTAGCGACCCAGATCGCAAACCAGAGAAGTGCAAGGACCTCCAGGCACTTGCTTGAGTGAGCTGAGACCACCACACCACCAAGGAAAGCTATATACTGCTCTGCCATCTCCATGCCTGCCAGGAGCCTGCTCACTCTTCAAACCAGCAGCACAATAGAGAACCCTTGCCTGAAGGGTTTCTCCCACCCGCCCCTCTGGTCGGGGATTTCTTCAGAGGGCAGGGAGACTGGAAATGGCTTTCCAGCTATTGTACATTTCAGTTGGAAAGGAAGAAAACTGTTTAAGACTTGGGAACAATAGAGCTCTTGCTTGCTGCTGCTGCTGCTGCTGCTGCTGCTGCTGCTGCTGCTGCCACCACTGGAGCTGCAGCTGCTGGTCCTGTGGTTTTACTTCACTCACCCCCATTCAGTGGTTACTAGCAGTTTCCATCAGCTGAGAGCGAGGGAGAGACAGCTGTCCACAGGGGGCTTCAGCTGACTGAGCAGGTTCTCTTGGTCTTTGAGGCCACAGCAGTCATTTACACCAGCTGGAGAGAGAAAGGGGATGTGGAGGGAAGGGGAGGGGAGGGGAGAAGAGGAGAAAGGAGGGGGAGAACAAACACCAATAACCAAATGCTGCAATCACAAGGATTCAACCCTCTCTGGTGCATCCTCAGAAGAACAATCCATCACCAGTATGTATTATTGAGCAAGTGTGAACAACTGATAAACCCCAGTGATTTCCCTCCTCTGTTAAAGCAAGTTGCCAGCAGGCTAACTCACACTTAGTTCTATCCACGCGAGCATAGTCAAAATGTAACAGCAAAGACAAACATCATTAAAAAAAATTTTTTTTGTGAAAACTGCTTGTAGATCATTTTGATCCCTGATGCCCACGAAAGATTAATAGACCTCCATGGTAATGCAGCTCCTTTGATGTCTCTTTATTTCTGAGCAAGCAAATAAATACAGCCAATACCTGTAAAAAAAAAAAAAACCCACAACCTTATGCCCAATATTTTACAGTTGTTTTATACCTCCCCTTCTCATGTTGAATGCGAAGAAGGAATGGCTGAAATAATCTTGTTGAGGGGGAAGGGGGAAGGGGGGACAGTGGGAAGGGGGATTACAGGCATTTTAAGTCATCTTGTAAGAGTATATCTTTGACAGGCAGCAGATCTAACATTATTACTTGTCAAAAGTGCTTTCCTGACAATGTGTGGGAGCGCATGTTAGATTCTCATCTCTGCTGCCAGCCTGAATAATTTATTTGTTCACAAAATATAAACCGCTAGTCAAGTCATACTGATTTTGAGGTGCAATCCCCATGGAAAGGCTGTTTGCAAAGCATAAAATTAAGGGGCACTGAAGATGTTCCTGATCTCAGTAGAGAATACTGGGCTTGACAAAGAACACAGGATGGGGCAAAAAGACAGCAACGGTCGGACTTTATGTTAAGCAGAAGGCATTATTTTAAATTCACCCCAATGAACTGGAACAAAAGGCAGGGCTGCCTGGTGTTCTGCAGAACCAGAAATGAAAAGACACAGAATAGCTCTGAGAAAAGCTATTGTAAGACTTTACAAGGAAAAAAAAATCTAGTGGAAAGGCCCTATTCTAGTAGCAGAGCAACCAAAAAGGTCTAAAAAATGAGGATGCAATTGTTGAAAAAGACAAGCTTCAGCAAGTATCTCTTGGGAAAGCTGTCATTTTTCAGAAGCTTCGTAGCCTCACCCATTTTCCCAAGTGCTGGACTTAAAAACAGCTCCGATCAAATAATTCCCAGGTTTTATCTGTTTAAATATTCTGACATCAGAGCAAATTAGCAATGTGAAGGCTGCAAATTTGTCTTTGTTTACTTTCTACTCTAGTCTGCCTCTAAGAGGGAATTAAAGGCTCAGGATGACCTGGTGCAGTGAGGCTGTGATTAAGAGAGGTAAGCAAGGGTAGATTACTGCTCCTCAGCTGTGGAAAAAAGCAGCAGCAGTCAGGAGATTATCCGATATACAGAAAATCTGAGTTCAACAAATGTATAGCATTCTGATGGAGGTCACAAAGGATCAGAGAGTATAACAGAGCTACCAGATATGGGCTGCAGAAATCCAGATGACCACCAGATGGCAACAGTTTCAGAACCTTCCAGTTACTGCCATCTTGTGATTGTCTGAATTTCTGCAGTCCAGACATGGTAGCCCTAAGGTACAATCAAAATAAGAAAGTATTATTTCAAATTATGCTTGATCATTTCACAGCCAGAAAATTTTGCCCCCACCCCCACCCCCCACACACTCAAGGAATCTTTTTACATCCAGGGATTGATGGGCAAATGCTCATTTGTATACTCCACTGGCATTGGGGCCATCTGAAATAATAAACTCACTAAATGAAGAGAACATTCTTTTGACTATTTAAATAGTTTCAACTTAAATAAAAGCTCTTTTGTATTCACAAATCAAATTTCAACTCTGAAATTCATGAATGTGTAAAGCTGAGGCTTGCTCTGTGACTATTCTGGCCTTATGCCGCTTTGAGTCAGAAAGAGCTCTTGAATGTGAGAGCAAAGATGTGTCTCAGCAGGGAACTTCAAATTAGAGGCCTGCTGTCAGCGTTCAAGGACTTGTATGGGGTAGAGAAGCAGAGGTGGGAAAGATTTGAATAATCAAAGGCAATAGATAACTATTTTTAGCTCCATGCTGCCATGACTCTGATCCAAAGGGATCAATTCCATAGAAGTCTGCATTTCTCTTTTCTTGCAAAAGCAATCCACTATACAAACAACAGCTTCCAAAACTGGAGTAATCTTTCCAGTTCTAATGAAATGTGAGAAAGAGGAGAGGAAAGGGGGATTTATCAGGATGGGCACAGAGACATTTAAATAATCAAAGGGGTCCAACCAGAATCAGCCCTATGTCTCCAGTATTTGGGATACAACATCTAGTCAATATAGCTGAAAGATTGGACATCTGTAGTCCAACGTATCTATAGTTACAATACATAAAAAGCAAATTATAAAAAATGATAATTCCATTATTACAATAGCATTCAGATCCTTAATTCTTTTTTTTTTTAAAAGAAATATAAGCCATAATGCTTTGCCAAAAATACTAACTGGGAGTTTTATTGAATGCACAAATATACATTGCCCAAACAGAAAAAACTCACAGAGCTGATATAGATATTCTGATAATCAAATAGAATGCAAATGATTTCCCTAGTTTTATTCTTCCAAAACTTACAAATGGATAAACTAGAAGAATACTTTTCAGTACATAAAGAGAAATATTGGTTATATTGCTGCTAATGTCCAAGTTGATTTACTCTCCAGATTAATTTTCTTAATAGGTGTTATTAGATAAAATGCATCACTTAAATAGAAGGATTTTATGCATTAATAAATCTATATAGACTAATAAAGGTAAGCAAACGAAACCAAACCAAACCTGCCGTTATTGCTGCTAAGCTGAATAAGCATTATAAAAATACTTTTCTAGGCCCTATTCTACATCAAAAGCTGTGGATCATATGGAATAAATCTAAAAAATATTTTTTCTTCTGTCCAACGGTCTATGGAGATTCTCAGTCATCCAGGTCATGGTTGTTCCAAAGGTGCTTTTTTTTTCAAGAGGCAACTGGACTTTCTGTTTTCTCCTTGAAGAAGTTTTGCTTTTCATCCAAGAAGCTTCTTCAGCTCATCTGTCTTATTCTTTCATTGAGAAGTTGGAGCTGTGCTTTCTGCAGGATGTTCTCTGCTCTGTGTCCCTTTACTGTTGAACATAGATACAGGCTGCTGGGGATGAGTCTGTGTTGTTTGCATCTCAAACTGAAGTGCAAATAGTTCCTTTAGCCTGCAATTTTTCTAAAATCCCTTCATACTTCCACACCATTCAAAGGGTGTCATCCCAAAGTGCATAGCTAAATGTCTATGGAGATTCTTAGTTATCCAGGTCACGGTTTTCCCAAAGCTGCTTTTTCCAAGAGTCAACTGGACTTTCTGGTTCTTCTTTGAAGATGTTTCACTTCTCATCCAAGAAGCTTCTTCAGTTCTTGGATGAGAAGCTTCTAAGATGAGAAGTAAAACGTCTTCAAAGAAAAACCAGAAAGTCCAATTGCCTCCTGAAAAAGCACCTTTGGGAATCTTAGGTATGTTTGTTACATTGAGTTATGGTATTTATAATAATAATAATAAAGGTTGGATATAAATAAACAAACAGTTAACTTCCAAGCTCAGGCATAAAATGCAAATGACTAGCTGTCTGCAAGGAATATAAATCCTTCCCCACCATCCAATCAGAGCTGAAAAAGCTTCTTGGATGAGAAGTGAAACGTCTTCAAAGAAAAACCAGAAAGACCAGTTCCCTCTTGAAAAAAAGCATTGTCTGTCTAACATTCATTAAATTCTTAACAGTTGGCGCCCCATCTTGTTGTTGTCCCATATAATAGAAAAGTTCTAGCATTGTAGAACAACAGTCAGAAGCGTGCATATTGTTTTGACTCCCATGCTGAAAAGAAACATTAGTAACTTTTCTTACTGCAATACCAGCAGTAGCAGTAACAGCAGCAATAGGAATAATTATATGAACTTAAATCTTTTTCATCTCCCAATATTTATTGACTAGACCAATGTCATGGTTGCCTGAAATGGGAATGGGGCAAGAAAGCAACCTTTAATCAATCCAAAGCTGAGCAAACAGTTGATCAAGATAGCTTGCATGATTCTTTATTGGCCCTATCTTACTGATTTAAATCCCCCCTCCCACTTTTGTGGTTTTTTTTTTACTTTTCTCCCATCTTAGAGTTTAAGTGTCACAAGTTTCTATTGGTTTTTGCAGCAACCATCTAACATGTTTACCCTGTTGAAAACATTCTCAGTATGTTTCTCCTGGAAACTTCTACTCTTTAGCTACCTTCTTAAATAAGTGAGCAAAAATATTGCTTGTTCTGCTCTCCGTGATAAATCAAGCAGGGGAAATCAGTGTTCCAATGCACCTCACTTATGGAGAGCGTATATTGATTCTAGAAGCATCAAAACTCTCTATTTCTACTTTATAGACTGATTGCAACCCACCTAGCACTTGTCAGAAGTGAGAAACAGAATGAGTGCCTTCTTATGTTCTCTGTTAATTATAGCTAGAATTGCTTCTGAAACTGATGAAAAAGTTTGCATTATAGGAGAACTGTAATACAATAATTCTAATAAAATCTACTGTACTCTCAACAAGTCTGTTTACAAGTCATGCTTAGATAACAAAATTTTATAAGAATTGTCACATTGTAGGATTCAGGCAAAATTGTTTAGAGAACTGTGGTAGAAACTCATATAGTTTAATGGTAATATTGTTAACATACAAGTTATAGATTATGAGGAAGTATTGTCATGTAATTTGAATGTCCCAATATTAAATAAACTACTGTTCAAGATCAACAAATAGAATGATTTCTAAAATATTGTAGGTTTCTTTTTTACAATATAAAGATAAAATTTAAAAACTTACACTTTCCATGATTCTTCAATCATGTAAATTAAAGTCAACATATCTCCATATTTGCC